TGTTGTCGTGGTATCCAACATGGCCATGTCAAAAAGTAGTAATAACAAAGGATGATGGTTAGTGACATGTGGCAGATTACTTTTGCTGTTTGGTGCCTAGCGTGGGGTTGAAAGGGCAAAGATCAAGGTCTATTAACGATTCAGAGGTACCAGCATTCTGAGGCTAAACTCTGAAGAAGTGGGACCAATGATGAACATACATGATGTAGAACAAATGTTAGAGGGGATTTGGAGTATTTTTTTGAGAAATGAAGAGTTGTTAATTTATTATTTAACACTCCCCTCAGCTTCTGTAAACCAGGTTGACATCTTTGAATTAATAACAGTTATTTAGTCAGATTTTACAAGCCAAGATTCTGAGACCCTCTCAATGAAGAAGGCCTTCAGATAAGACCTTTGTTGTGTTGGAGGTCCAAAGAAACCCCTTTGCAGCCTCTGACCAGAAACAGGCTGCTCTCCCGAGTTTGGCAACATGCAAAAGTACACTGATTTAATTTCAAGTATTACATTAAATTGGGTTACTTAAGACCGTGATAAAGGAAATGTTTATCAGAGCCTCCCAGTCTTTTCCTGGCCTGAGCCTCAAGACCAAATATTCTAGCCAATATTAAGGGTGTAGAATTGCTTTCATGTGAATGACATGAATGGAGAGATTAGTTGTCTCGAAAGAATTATTTTTCTGTCCCAGACCTTTAGAAATGTTTTCTAGGGTGCTGGGAAATCAGTGGCTAGTCCAAAAGCAAGACAAAGGAACATTTATAAATATCCCTCTCCTTCCAAATCCAGCAGAAAAGATGGCAAGATTAACATATATGTGGCTGAATAATTTTTTTCTGCTGTCAGTCACCCTTAATCCCTTCCTATCTTAGGGAGGCAGGAAAACACAAGGATTTGAAGGGCCAATTCAAAGGGCAGGATGGCAATCCATTTTGCTTAACTGTAAGACTGCAACTGTGAATGGAAAGAACATTCAAAAAATCTGCATATCACAATCTTAACATCCTGCCAATAGCAACCACCTCCTTGCCCAACTAACTCTTCCCTTGCTGTTTTTATAAGAAAGATAATCTCTACCTTGCATATAAAAATGTTTAGCTGTTGTTGCCTCAATAACAAACTCAGATTTTAGCATAGTTATCTTGAGGCTATCCTAATTTACATCAGAATCGTTCCCAAAACATGGAACTTTTTCTTATGTTGGTCTAGCCATCAGCCCTGCTAACTTCCATCTCCAGTCAAACAGACATCTTCAGAAAGCAAATCAGAGAGCTCCTTCAGATACCAGTTTGACCTGTCATGCTCTGTAAACTACATACAGAGCCACGATTTTTAATTTGGGCAATGTGAAATCAATGTCTTTGTGTCTTGGGCTTTATTTTAGCAGGTAATAAGCAAATAATGAATCTGTGGCACTATCCAATAAAAGCTGAAAGTTTAATTTTTCTAAAACTTTTCCTGTAAATCTTCAATTATGGATTATGTTACAGATGAGAGTAAAGGACCAAGTCTCATACACATAAATAGGCTGCATGTCTCCAACAATATCCACAATCATAACTCTGAATATAATTCTTGCCAACAAACAATGTCTGTCTGTGAAAGGCATTTTAGAATTTCTGAAGTAAATGGTCAATTCATAAAAGAACAATGTGATGGATTTTGTCCATGTACCCCAGATAAAAAAAGGAACAACAGCTTCTTAAAATGTTTTGCATTTATCATTTTTAGGAAGAAAAAAAAAGAATTTGGAATCACTGTCCAATCCCAAGGGATACTTATTCTGTGTCTAGTATGACCCTAATTATAATGATAATATAATGAAGAAATGTTCCCTCTTTTCCTGTAGCTGCACAGTGGCAATCTGCAGAAAATTGCCTTCAGCTGTAGATATATGAATATATGTTTTCTAACAGTGAGCTGTGTTCTGTGCTCTTGTAATAGCACTTTATTTTATAAGACATCACCTCATGAGCTGAGATTAAGAAAGGAGAATCTGTCATGTTATTAAAAAAGTACCAAGTAGCCCAAAGTCAAAACCAGATGGCAGCTTAATTTAATATAGCTGAATAAAAAACCCCAAACCAAAAAAAACCCCACTAAATACAAGAGGGTACCAACATGGATAATAGTGTGAATTATAGATAATTGTGACTTTATTCCAACGTAACATATATATCAACCTGCATACGCTGGTGCAGCAGCTCCAAGTCTGGCTAACAGTGCTTAAATATTCCCCTTGCTAGAAATATTTCCATGTATTAATCATTTCTAGAAATTTCCATTTGCCCCAGTTGCCTTTGCTGATTCATAGGGGGGTTTTTTTGCACAAATTTCACAGAAGACGTCAACTTTTTTTTCAGTCATGACTAGTAAAGAACGTTTCTTCCCATAATATACTTAAAGATGTGCTACAATCCCAGCATCAAAGCAGTAGGTAGTAAACACAATAAAATTTGGCAAAGTAGGAGCTCTGTGCCCCCAAATGTCATTTTGATTCATTTGGTTTGCCTTTCTATATATTGAAAACATCACACAATTCCATAAGGGAATTAGGGAAAAAAAGACCCAAACAACCCAGAGCCATGGAATTATATTAGTTCTTACTCTTGAAGCAGTACTTTGTAGCTACAACCTTATAAATGACTACCTGCTCAGTATGATGAGATTTCCTAGCAACTCTTGTGTGAGCAAGTATAAAAATCAAGGCATGCTCCTCAATTAAAGGTATTTTTTCAAATGTCTGAGAATATATTTTTCTACTTCTGGTTATTTGTGTTCTGGCAAAGAACATGAGGTCAGTTTTCATTCAGGTAAAAGGCTTCTTTTGTTTGGACTACAAAAGTTTAGGACCCAACTGAATATAAGCATAAAGCACATGAAGTCCCTCCTTTGTGAACATCAGCATGGAAGAGTATTGGAGATGTTTTCTTGCTTGTTACCAAAAGCCTTGTTGTCAAAGTCTCAGTCAGTGAAAGGAACCTGGTAAGCAGGGAAAATCATTACCCAGTCTATCTTCCTGTCTCTCAAGGACATTAATATTTTTGATTCTCAGGAAGAAATAAAGGCGATGTATAAGCAGGAGTAGAAGATGAAATCAGTAGACTATTGTCACTGAAGAATAAAAACCAGAAAACAATATGTTGGCACAAGGCCAGCATAGCTGCAACTGAAGAGCAGAAGACATGTTTCCAGGCAGCAGAACACGGAAGAGGGATCATAATTTTGCCCTCCTGTTTCAGCCACATTCATATGTCTAAGTCTGATGTTCTCTTGTCATTGTGCTTGGGGTGCACGCCTGTATTTGTTATACAATATTCTTTGACTTCAACCATGCAGATGACAACTGGAATGCACCAAGGGTCAGCAGATTCCTTTGGGTACACACACTGGCTGAGCATACTGTCAGGCAGCCCCAAAATTTACCCCTTGTACACTGAAAACCAAGTGAAAAGTGTACAGTGAGGGTTGCTGAGAAGATGAGAACTTTTCAAAGGACAGTCATTGGGGCCTGTTAGCTCCACTCCTAGCCTTTGCTGCATACTTTTATTTCTTATGGCTCCAGTTAGGGAGCTGTTGGTTAGAATCTGCAATTTCACAGAATCACAGAATGGGCCAGGATGGAAGGGTACACATCTGGTCCAACCTTCCTGTTCAAGCAGGATTGTCTTAGAGCACGTGGCAGAGAATTGTGTTCTGACAGTTCTTGAATAACTACAGGGAGGGACACTCCATAACCTCTCTGGACAATCTGTTCCAGTGCTTGGTCACCAGCACAGTAAAGGAGTTTTTCCTCATATTCCCATAGAACTTCCTGTGCACTGGTTTCTGCCCAGTGCCTCTTGTCCTATTGCTTGACACCATCAAGGAGAGCCTGGATCCATCCTCTTAGCACCCTCCCTTCAGATCCTTATAGATATTGGGAAGGTTTCCTTTCAAGTTTCTTTTCTTGAGTCTGAACAGGCCCAACTCCCTCAGCCCTTCCTCATAAGAGAGGCCAGGAGGCCTTTAAGAATCTTTGTAGCCCTCTGCTGGATCTGCTCCAGGAGCTCCATGTCTCTCTTGTCCTGAGGAGCCCAGAACAGACACAGCACTCCAGATGTGGCCTCACCAGGGCTGAGGAGAGGGGCAGGATCAGCTGTCCCAACCTGCTGGCAATGCCCTTCCTAAAGCAGCCCAGCACACCATTGGCCTTCTTGGCCACCAGGGCACTGCTGGCCATGGACAGATGTTGTCACCAGGACCCCAGGCCCTTCTCTGCAGAGCTGCTTCCCAGCAGGTCAGCCCCCAGCTGGGCTGGTGCAGGGGGTTACTCTTTCCCAGGTGCAGCACCCTGGATTTGCCTTTTCTGAACTTCAGGCAGTTTTTCTCTGCCCTTCTCTCCAAACAGTCGATGTTCTTCTGAAGGGCTGGACACTACTGTGGAGTAATTTAACCCTTTTCTTTCCAGTCAAGAGCTGCTGGATTATTAAAGCCTGCACTCTGATCTCCAGAAATGAGCAAAAGTTATTTGCTCTTGGTGATGGATCATAAACTAGAATCGCAGCAGTAAGTGTACTAAAGTTGCTGTGCTGTGAATGTTCCATGCTTCTGGCTGGCCAAAATTTAATAGGAGCTCAGGGACCTCAGTAAGATAAAGAGAAAATAGTAACAGCTCGACAATTCCATAAGTTATGTAATTTGCCCGTATTTTAGCTTTTTCGTAAGGAAGAGTAAATACAACAAAATTCATGTGCTAAGGTTTGTGCCACAGTCAAAACTCAGGCACTGTAGAAGACAGTATTGCATATAATTAATTAATTAATATAATGTCCCATGAACATAAGGAAACAATCTGGTCTTTTCTTGCTTTCTGCCTTACCCTGCAGGATACCGTGTTTAGGTTGCCTAATTTAGCATTAAGAAACCTTTTGTGCTGGATTAAGTACTGTCTTTCTGCTTGGAAGTATACTGCACTGCTTTTGAAGGCTGTACATTACCAACATACAGGAAAAGATCTCAGTTAAGTCTCTTTTCTCCACTGCTGCTTGTTTGTGATCTGTTTCAGGTAAGTCTCAGCCTCCTGCTGCTGTCTCAGTTCCCCCTCTGTGCAGCAGGGACATGTCCCTGCAGCAGCGCAGTGTGCACGTGAGATGCTGTGCTGACTCAGAGACAGGGTACCCAAGTAAGCCTACCTGCCTCTGCTAGGCTGGGTGCTGTAGGAGAGTCAGCCAGAACAGTGAGAAAATTAAACTGCAACTTCATCAGCGAAAGGGAATGTGATCTCCAGCACTGGCAAATTGAGTTCTGGTAAGTGCACTGAACAAGTCAAGGCACCGTTTTGATGGTAATGTTATATGAGACCAAGTTTATAATGGTGATCTGTATCGAGTCAGGACGTGTGACCTCATTTGTTTGATGTGGGCTCTCAACTATAATCTATACCTTCATTATCTCAAGTGCAGGATAACTGTAACCCACTCTGGCTGTCAAGTCACAACTAAAAACTACTGTGAACTGAAGGTGACTTGAAATGCAGCCGTGCAATTATTAAGTAATGTGTCATGCAAGGAGCACAGTGCATTATACCAATTGCTTTGGAAGTGCACTTGTCGCCAGCAGCCACAGAGGTGAAATTCATACCCTCTGTTTTGACCTTTGTCTGCTGAAGTGGCTGAGGACGAGCCTACCTGAAGGGACTTAAATTCTCTGTGCTGTGTGCTACAGTTGTGATTACAAGTACTGGAGCTTGGGCCAGAGCTGGTCTCAGTAGGTCTGAGATGTGAACTGAGTATTTTGTATAAGCACTTAATTTGTGGGGGTTTTTTTGTTGGTTTTTTTCCTGATTGTTTTGTTTTTTATTTTTTTTTCTTCTAGCAGGCTGTTCTTTATAAGTGCAGGGAGGAGTACATGATCCATGCATTTAAGTAGTCTGGGTGATTATATTAATCTGGTTAGACTTTCTGCATGGCAATGTTCCTTCTTTCCCACAGAATTCTTGCATGATGTACATTCATACACAAATGTATTTTATGGTTTCATCCAGCCTCAAAACAAGAACTTCAAGTGATTTGGAATTTCCTGTACCCCACAATAAGCTGTTCAAATTGCTATTTTTTACTCTGGCACCTGAATGGGATTGTTTTGTCAATGTTATATGAGCAGTTATGTTGCCTGCACTAAAATTTTCTTTTAAATGTGGTTGTTGTTAATATTTGTGAAGGAGATAGGATTGTCTTAAAATAGAACTTCACTACCAAAACCTGGATGAATAAAATATCTGGGGTTGTTTTGTTCAACTGATTTTGTGGATACAGGTTGATTGTTGCAACTGGTTTTACTTTCATAGTTTTCTTGATCTTTATGTTTTCCAAAGCTATTGTAAATATTTCAGTCATGGCATGAAATGAAGTTTTATTTTGAAAAAAAACCTTATTATATAGCTTAAGTATTTATATATTCTTATGTAAGGAACTATTCCTATTACTCAAATGAATCAGAAGCAATAATGATGACATGAAAGGAATTATGATCCTTTGGAGCATTAAAAATGACTCCACTAGGTGGAGAACTTGCATCAGGTATGCAACTAAAAATGTTGGTGCTAACTGAAATGATAGCGGTGCTGCAAAAATTAAACTCCTCATAACAGAATGCTTCATATATCATACTTCCTGTCTATCATTCCTGGTGAAGAGCACTTCTAAATCTGTGGCACAGAAATTATGTGGAGTTGTAAAACACTATATAAGTTCCTGTTTAAAAATTAATAAAAGGATGAACATATATTTCTTGATACATTTGCTGAAGGAGTTTCTGTCTGTAGTTATCAACTTCTCTCCGAAATGTATTAATTTGGAACATTTTTCTTCACCATCCAGCTCATTCTTATGACTTGCTGACAATGCAGACTGTCCAGAGATAGAAATATTGAAAAAATTTGGCCAAAACCAGATATTTAATTTTTAAAAGTCCTATTTAACTAGTTCCCAGCTAAAATTAAACTAAAGAAATATTGTATTTTATTAGTTTCCCTGGCTCTGTCAACATGACCAAGATTAAGACACTAGGAAGAGGGCAAATGCTGACAAAAGGGAATATTTTAATGTGTATTTTTGTATTGGCTATAGGCCCAACCAGAATTAGGGGTTGACTTTGAAATTTTTGCAGATTCAGAATTCTGTAGCATTGCAGTAGGTCCTATATTGCTGAGAAGAGAATAAAAACTAAAGGGGACAGTTTTTCTTAATCTGCTGGGACTAATCTGTGGAGACAAATTTACTGGGAATTTGCAATCTGCACATTTGTCAGCTGAAAATAATTAAAAAGTGATATATGGTTTNGTAAGAGTCAGAATATAAAGCTTCTAGGACCCACGTGTTCAGAAGGGGACGATTTTGAAAGGGTCATTGCTTGCTTGGGTGTGCAAACCAACACCAGGCTTCAAGATAGATTTTGATTTGGGCTTTGGGAGTGTAAGTGAGAATTGCAGAGATTTTCGATTTTCTCAGGGGGGTGAAGAATCAAGAAGACTGCAGGAAAGGGTAAATGCTCTATATCTTTTTTTACTATTTACATATGTTTAATTAATACAAATATTATAAATGGGATTTTGGAATTCTAGTCTTCAGGATATTTGTTGATGTCTTTATGTTGGTGGTCTGACAGAGTTACAAAGAGGGCAGGTGATGACAGGGCAGGAAATTGGATGTACTCTGTCATTATGCTCCAAGCCTTGCAAATAATTAACATCAGACATAGAGTTTGGAATTGGATTTTCAAGACTCCAATTGAGTCTCTGTGGCTTGCAAACTTCAGAAGACAAGATAACAGCTGCTGGTAAAGGCAGATACTGTGTAATTTGGAGTCTGAATGCATACCAGGTTATAACTAAGTTAGGGCTAGTGGTGGTATTAGGTTAAGGCTCTAATTTGCTTTTAATTTAGGGCTGAGATTAGATTTCAGTATAAGAGGTGTTCTCTCCTATTGACATGTTCCTTCTTAAGAACTCAGATCTTTGCTGCATCCTATTATTACTGAAGAGTTGGGAATGGACAGGTTTTGGAAATGATGAATGTTCTGTGTCATCTTGTAGAGATCAGATTTGCACCAATGCCATGGCTAGAGTAGTGCTATGAATAGGGAATCCAAACTCTATTTTTCTCAATTTATGGGTGGTTATTTCAGGGACAAAGGAAACAGAAAGATGATGTGTTTCTCTATGTGAATATGCTTTTATTTCGCTTTCATTGATGTGATCACTGTAGGTGTTGATATTAACATTAAGATTGGAGCTAGGTTTCAAGTTTTGAGTTTAGTACTGAAAGAGAACATTTTTTCATTCTAGAGGGTCTAGATAAATACAAATAGAGAAAACAGTTGCTTAGGCCAGTGCTTTATGCTCTCATTTACTTCTGGTCTTCCTTCAATTCATTCATATAATTAAATTTTGTGTTAGGATTTGCACTTTGTGTGATTTACAAAGACAGGCAGAATTCATATTTATTTATAGTAAAAATTAGCATAAAATAATAGTTTTCAAGAATTATTACATAATATAGGGGAGAGCAGTAGAAAGGACTCCAGCTAATAATTAGGTTTAGATTCAGAGTTGGAAGTAAATTTAGAACTTAGAAATCTAAAGCTAAAACTACAGTATGTTTTCCTCTTTTGTTTGCCTTTGTCTACTTGAGTTTAGGAAGGGCAATTTCTTAAAGATATTATTAGCATTAGAGGCCATATCTAATTAAACATAATTAAGATTGAATGTAGGGCCGGAGTTATGATTTTGGAAACTGAATAGTTGAAGGTCTGCATTCGTTATGGCCTTTTGTAGGGTTCTTTGGGGTGGAAAGAGGGAATATGTCATTAGGGGGAACACATTAATTTCTTCCCACTCATGAAAGGAAATTCCTGCCAAGAATCAGCCTGTGTCTTCTCCTGACTGGGGTGGTGGAAAGGGATGGGACAGCCTGCTGGTCTCTGCCCTTCTTCCCTAGGGTGTCCTGGGATTTTACCAACCTGTCCAAGGGCTGCAAGAATCGATCAGAGAGAGATGTGTGACAGCAATAGTGAACACTACTTAGGTTTTCTCGTAGAGTATGAATTTACATCGTGGGTATGGTGAAGGCTCTCATTAGTGTTGGTGAACATGAAGGTATTCTTACACTCTACATCTTGCTTGCTCCTTATTTCCATTTCTGGCCCTCATTTTCCTTGATGAGCCATCATGTCCACCTACATTCAGAAGATGGCAATTATTTCACCCAAATTTAAATCCAAGCTCAGTTGATAATTAGCTTTAGGGTATCTCCCAGAAAGTTTGGCAGAGGGTTGCACTGAATCTGATTTTGTCTGCCAGGACATATGTCCTGTACCTGCTTGTGTCAAAAAATCCCAATGTATTGTTCTGTAGGACACACTGCATAGCACATTATACTGGTGGCCAGTGAGAAGGACACTTTTAACTGAAAATAACCCCAAATACAGTAATTAGGTTCATCTGTTGAGTGGCAGCACTCACTGGAAGATGCAGGCCAAACAGTGATAAGGGTAATAGACATAAAAAAGGTGGTCAAAAAGTTGGTCTCCTCTGATTGTGCTGGTAGAGATTTCCTGCAGGTGGATCTACATTGTTGGTGCAGAGAGAGCAAAGGCTGCTGACCAAAGGCTTCACTTTTGCTAGAAGAAATAATCAAAACTGTGTTGATCAACAGGACTGATGCAAACACAGACCTTGATGCATGTGCTGGACAGTGGTGTGACAGCCTTTTCTTCACTTGATCTGCAACTCTCACGATATGAAAGGTACTTCAAAAATTAGGGAGGGTGACATCTGTCCTTTGTCGTGTATATGAATGATTATCTCCAGCCATTTAATACTGGTTTTAATTTGTAACAACCTTTACTGATTTGTACTATTTCCAACAATTATTTTCTCTCTTTTCCTTGTACAAGTTTAAAATATTAAGAGACTTTTACCAACAGAAGTTGTCTGGATTTTTGCTACCTTGGGAAAAGGTAAAAGGGTGGCCTACAAAAAACTGTTGCAAGGTGTGTGTTTGTCTTTTCTCCCAAGTAACAGTGATAGGACAGGAGGAAATGGCCTCAAATTATGCCAGAGGAGATTTAGATTGGCTATTAGGAAGAATTTCTTCACTGAAATTGTTAAGCACTGGAACAGGCTGCCTGGGGAAGTGGCGGAGTCACCATCTCTGGAGATATTTACAAGGTGTGTAGGTGTGGCACTTAGGGACATGGTCTAGTGGTGGACTTAGAAGTACTGGGTTCATGGTGGGATTAAGTCATCCTAAAAGTCTTTTCCAAACGAAATGATTTTATGAGTTCATGGAATTCACAGGAGACTGTACAGTTCTCTTCAGTTCTGAAGGCCTCTGAGCTGGCTGTCACAAAGGCAGGGCACAAAAAGACCCCTCTCCAAGGTAGAGAAGGTAAATGGAATATTTTATACTTCTTAAAATTTCCTTTTTTCTGGTTGAATCACTTTGAGTTTGCTGGTAATAAACCCAAAGGATTCAGTTTTCTAAGGAAAGCGGACATCTTTGAATATAAAAGTGTTTTTGTTCCTTTGGGGAGGGGGAATGTCTGTCATCACTACAGGAAAAAGATCCAGTTCAACCCATCACTGTATCTGGTAAATGCAGATTGCTTCTCAGAAACCTAGATCACAGCAACTCTTCTGACTTCTGCATTGTACCAGTTTTGCACCTTCTGGTTTGGTGATAATGAAATACAGTCTTTCAGCCTTTCCTTTTTGCTTTCTGAAAAAAACGATATCCTGTTTGTTTTCATAAGTGCTTAAAAGTGTTTGGAAGTGTTTAAATGAGGCACATGCCAGCATACCAAATTAACATATTAGCCATAAGGAGCGCTATTGTATTTATATCTTACAAATCATCTCCACCCCCTTATTTGCTTTTTGGAAGAACAGTCTGTTCAAAGTTATAATTTAATGAAACAGTAGCTGACAATTGACTTTTTTTGTTGTTGCTGGGGTTTTTGTGTTTTGTTTTTTGTTTGTTTGTTTGTTTGTTTGTTTTTAAGATGCAGCATTGAAAAGGATTATTTGATTAGGAGAACAAAATATCATATAATTTCAACACAAGTAGGGAGGGCTTGATAATGTATTTGCTATGTCCATGTTTGAGGTGTCTTGTTCGTGACAATGTTTTAGCTCTGTTGCATGTCATAGAATCATAGAATCTTAGAACAGTTTAGGTTGGAAAGGAACTTAAAAATAATCCAATTTCAACCCCCTGCCATAGGCAGGGACACCTTCCACTATCCCAGGTTGTTCCAAACCTCATCCAACCTGGCCTTGAAGACTTCCAGGTATGGTGTATCTACAACTTCTCAGGGCAGCCTGTTTCAATGCCTCACCATGCTCACAGAAAAGAATTTTTTCCTAATATCTAATCTAAATCTACACTCTTTCAGTTTAAAGCCACTCCTCCCTGTCCTTCCACTACATGCCCCTGTAAAACCTCCTTCTCTTGACTATTCTTCACTGTAAATTTTGCTCTGCCAGCTCTTGTAACCATTGAAACAGCCTGTGTGTGCCAGTACAGTAAGGCTAAAGGAGACTGACATGCCCTCAAATATTATGTGATGGACAGAGAGCAGAAAACAATTTATCTAGGTTGTACTTTGAAGCAAGAGAAGTGAGAGCCAGGCAGAGAAAAAACCTTCCTGTTTCCACCTCTCTGTATGGAAGCATTCCAGATGGCTTACTACTCTGAGTGATTGTTTTCCACTTAATTAAGGTAGAAAAAAGAGATCAAGAGTCAAGATGTCCAGAGTAGAGATAAAATCATGGGACATGAAGTTCAGGTGTGATTATGGAGCTTTTTTTTAAAAAGTTGTGACATCCTTAGAAAAATTGAAAACTCACAAGGGTGAAGGTTGGGAACTCTGTCCTTTCAGCAACAACAATGCACAACATAATGAAATGTCTAAGAAAAATCACTGTCGTTTGGAAAGTGAACACTTTGTGTTCAGAAGACAGCAGATGTAAGCAACTTTTACTGTAACCTGTCAATTCAAGTGTTTTCAAGCTGACATTTTTTGCTTATCTTGCAATTGTTTAGCAGAATCTGCAGGACTTATCATTTGTAAGGGAAATACTGATTTTCAATCCAGAAGTGCTTCATCAACTCCATGTTTTCATGAATGCAAGGACATTTATACAAGTTCCAAAAGTACTATTCTCCAGGAAACTATTTTAACAGTCCAGTTTCACACTGGCAGTATTATATCCCATTTAATTGGTAAGATAAGTAACCTAGAGCTGCTGAGTGACAGGGAGGAATTCTGATTCCTCTTATTCTCTGTGTCTGTGTTCTCTATCAGTTAAAGAATTTTCAGGGATCAGCTTTTCAGGGTGGATAAATCAACCATTAAGCAATCATAATATATGTATGGAGAATGAGGTGTGCAAGAGTGGGGTCTATGAGAGCACACAAACACAATTAGAAATCTCAAGTGAGCATGAGCCTTACTCTCTAAAAAAGCTAAGGCTATCTCTCTCCTGACAAAATTAGATGCCCATTCTCAGAAATCCCTAAAGCAGGAGACCAACAGATCCACTACAATTTTATTCAGTTTTGTGAAACACTCACTGTCACATTCAGACTCATTCTTCTGTCTTTGTAGGTGGCAGTGCAGGGAGAGTTGAGTGTGGGTTTTATAAATTCTTCTGATGAAACTTTTTCATGCTTTGTGAAGTAATTGATGGACTTAGACGTTTTAAATCTCTACAGTCTCTGTACTCCTCTAGAAATTCTGTATGTAGAGTGATACAGTTTACTAGGACTAATTGATATAATTTTACTCTTGCTTATTTGAGACACGGTGAGAACATACTCCCTTGGGAAGTGGGTAAGGTAGTTCAAGTCCTCCTGAGAGCTAACCTTGAGTGTCACAGACATACGAGGACAATAAAAGCTAAGGACAAAAGACACGGCACTTTTTTTCCCCTTAATTTTTAAAAGAAAATGTTTGAGGATTATTTTTGTCAAAGAACACCAATCATGTATGGCCTCATAGAGGAGAAAGAAATGGTACTTCTATCATTTGGGAATTCCTTTGAGGACATATGTATTCTGGGTGTGCTCCAGACCGAAATTTTATTTTATTTTTTTAGATAGCTGTAAACTTTAGACTTTTCTGGTGCAATGATCTACTGAAAAGCTCCAGGTAGGTGACTTCTACATTCAGTGTGTAGATCCTGAGCTCTAATTTCTTTGTGAATCCAGCCTTACATTCCCATCCTTGCTCTCAAGTTTCTGATGGCTAAATGAGAAAAGCCCTAAAGAGTGAGAACACTCCCTTTCTATAATTGCAGGGTGAAATCCAAACAAATGTCACAGCACCCATTGACTTCAGGTCAGGCCAGAAATTCACATGTGGTTTTGGTTTTATTGTATGTCTTTCTCCTTTGTTCATGAGCATTGGCAGTGAACCTAACATAATGAGAATTACAGAGCTTCCCTGGACAATATTATTAAAAAGGAAAAAGGAAGCTGTCTAATGTATCTAATAATAACTGAATGATAGCAAACTATTCACATGGTTGTCTTTGCCAGCAGGGAATGTATTTAGTGACTAAATGGGAGGGAGGACTTTCAACCTTATATTCCTATGAAATATGCAAAGCACTGAGCAACAAAGAATGACAGAAAATACGCATGTCCAAATCAAACAACAAAAGTGACCTTTCCTTAAAAACATTTTGAAATAGCTGACTACAATTCCAAGTTATCACTTGGCAAGCAATTAATGAGTTAGCATACAGACTTCTTTTCCTGCTCTTACAAATCAGTCTGCATTTATACACAAAATCCATATTACAATAAAACCCATGTTTTTACAGCCTAAGAATATTGTATTTAATCCAGGTCAGTCTAAACTTTTTTTTGTCCTTGCATCTGCAAAAAGACTTGTATTGTTTCATTAGAAAAAAAGTGTTTCTGCGGTTACTCAGTTTTGTTCTCACTCCTTCAAATATTTCAAAATTAAGTATTGTGGCTACTAATTTTTATACTTCTGTTTTCTACTTGTTCTTTTTCAGACTATGATGCAGGATTTCTGTTCTTACTTGTCATTATGTCTTTTACATTACCTCCTTGTTTTGTAATTAAATGTCTATTACTGAATATCATTACTAAAATGTAATTTTTATGACCAAATTGTTCCTGCCAGTGAGGACATGGAGCATATAGCAAAAATTCTACCACCTACATGTCTCATGGGTATTTTAAACTATAGTTTTACTTCAAATTAAATTATTATTAATTGATTGTAGATTAACTCAATATAGTTATTCATTTTGCTCAATTGTTGTACATATGGCCTGCATTTTTGTTTGCCTATAGGCAACTTCTCTGCTTTTAAACCCAAATTAGTTGTTTTGCGCAAATGTTTGTGTAATGTCCAAAGTGTTCTTCATAACAGTGTTAACAAGAAAGTGATTGATTTACAAATTACCCTAAAATCTGTCTACTTTGGATAGTTCTCTGAGTTTATAATGCAGAATAGTACAAATGAGGTCCTTTATTAGAGACTGCCTTGACTATGGAGTTGGACTCTGTTTTGTATTCTTTTTCTCTTGCTTATTCTCTCATTTAATAATACACGTGCAGAAAATACAGAAAAGGCATTTTAGTCTGTGCTGTCACAATGACCAAGATTTTGTTGCTGGATTTGGTTACATGGTTCATTCTGAATCCTATCCCTATGGAATAGATACATATGCTTATAAAATTCGCTTAAAAATATTTTTGCTTTTCATTTGCTTCTTTGTTCTCAGTGAACACAGAATCTGCTTTTATCTTCAACACTACTAAATATCTTTCTAGTTGTATCTCTCCACTGGTTTTAGTTCAATGTTTATGCCTCCCTAATTTTGCTAGAGTAACATAATATGTTTCATTGAGTCACACTTAACTTGCATCCTACTTACATGCAGAATTTCCTTTTTCTCTGCAATTGCATATATTCCAGTTAGATGTGCTAAATCCCCACCGATTGCAAAGCACTCCATTTTATCCATGTGTTGGTATGTCTGGCAGGCACTACTTTTGGAATCCCATGCATTGTCCTTCGCCAATGTCATTTCATCCATGAGCAGGGCTTTCCTGAGGTCAGGAGAGGAAAGGGGTGTGCCTCTACAGACCTTTCTGCCTTCCTGCAGAGGTCACCTCTTGGAAGGCGATAAGAACTCCTGGCTCTTGCTATTGTTACACAGGACAGTTCTGATTCTGAGCTGAAAAGTGTCTAGGCAAGACAGAGGATGTGGTGGCCTTTGTGCAGTTCCCTCCACTCTGAGCCAAAGCCTCTTCTCAGCACATGCTGGCATCTTTTGCACAGATACAATTATATGTAAATGTGTGGGACTCAGTTTCATAAATTGAATTCCAAACTGCTGCTAAAACCTTGCATGCCGAAATGTTAGTATTTCCTAATTAAGAATATTACATAGAAATTATGTTTTATGTTATGTGTAGTTTTTCCCATTCATCAAATTTTAGATTGTATTTTATATTATTGTTTGGATGCATCTAAGCTTTTTGCATCCAACTTTGTTGAATAATAACTTATCTGTCATCTGTTAATGTCTGCTTGATAGCTAAACAGCCAAGTCCTGGCATCACAGCTCGAGATATTTGCTGGTTTAGTGCTGTTGCTTTGATATTCATTGTTGTTTCTGTAATGGCCCTTAAACATTTCCCATGCATATTTGAGCTAGAATGATTCTTTACATAATGCCTTAGAGGAAAACAAGGTTCTTCTAATAGCAATTAAAATTAGCAATGTTATTAGGCTAAGAATTTAAAATTACATATCACTTCTGTGCCAATTCCATTTTATCATTAAAAAAAAATCAATTTTCAACAATGTTGTATACCTCATGCATTATACACAACTTCAGTGATTTACTTCTTGTTTTGGCACAGGCTCAGTTGAATGATATAAGAGCTAATTTTGTTTTTCTGCTATAATAGCTTGTATTGTCTGCATAATGAATCCTTGCTGAGTTTCATCAGGGGAGTTATGATGTTCATATACTTCTGTTAGCAAAAAATTTTGTGCTTGTTCTCCAAAAAGTTTATCTTACCTGTAATCTGAAAGAACCATTCATGCAGGTATCAGCTATCATACACCATTCACAGCCATTCACTCAGGTACCAGGAAGAGACAAATCTAGAGATGGGTTTTCTTGTTAGGATGGTGGATATTTCCAAGTGAATGCATGAAACAGAAGTGTTGAAGGAAACATTGAAAGAAGTTCCCAGTTATGCTACACATTTTGAATAATGACACTGTGATGTTTCCATTGAATCATATAAGAAATGATGTCATACTCAGAGTGATGGGCAAAGAAATGGCGTTTTTTAGGCAAAGAATGGCAAAGAAATAACAGTGAGGACTAGCAGATCAAGAATTTGAGATATCTGAACTTTTGCAATGTTAGTCCATTTGGAAATATTCCAGAAACTGAGCTCATTTTCTTTTCCTCTGTAAAGATATAGCTCAAATCAATGAATGAGAGGGGAAGCTGGGAAAGCAGCTTTTAACCTAAACTCTCAAGGTTCATTATAAAGTAAATCAGGCAAATAAGAGTAGAGCAAGACTTACTAATAAAGGTAAAGGAATGCCAAAAATCCTAGAAGAAAAAACAAATGCTGAAAGGGTAGGTAACAGCTGAAAGGCAGTAGAGCCACTGGAAGGCAGCAGAGGTAGGGAAAAGATCCTGTTGAGGATGAGGCACTAGGCAGTGAGGGAAGATGGAAGTGTTTATGTGTTAACTCAGGCCAACATATAGTGATGGTTTATTTTTATGTTTCTGAAAGGGAGGCTAGTATGTTTTTGTTTGCAAGTTATCTTAAGCTGTGTAAGATTTATAATAAATGTTTATGATAAATATGTTAAGTGGATAAAAATCTAGCTTAGAAATAAATATATTTTAATTTATAATGTCTTTATAAGGATATTAAGTGGATCAAGATGTAGGAAATTTTTTTGGGGTCATAAGTATGTCTCTGTCTGCCTGGATTTAAACTTAGTGTTTGAATCATATATTTGCTGTGTAAGACAGACACAGAAGGTAAACAATGTCAACATCGAAGACATGTGCTTTGTTTCACATATTTGAAGTTTGTTTTCTGGGCTATATAGGTAGAAAAACATGTTATAAGTCTCGTTGTAGTCATTTCACTCTTACACATGGGATTCCTAGAAGCTAGATTGCAGTGAATATCAACTGGAAATCAGTGGATAAAAGAAGAAAACCTGTTCTCTGGGTCCTGAGTTACGATATAGACACTCAAACAGGGCTTGCAAAAGCTGAAGCCCATCTTTACTGCTGAAATAAAGCAAAGATTCTACTATTTTGGAAATATTTCAAGAGATTTGATATAGACTGTGATGCCATACAATGTTTTGGCATTTCCTGTAAATCCCTAACAACTGTATCTATCTAAGCAGATTCCAGCTGTGAGACTTAGGAGAAAAAAACAGCATGAGGTGAAAGGCAAATTGGCTGATGATATTCTTGATTTTCATGCTCTTCTGGATAGAGTCATTCACAGATCTCCACCTCAAACATTTTGTGAGAATAAATATTGTCCAGATATACTTTGGAGAATTTTTGTTGGCATTGGCAGTGTTGATGCTGGTTTCTGCAGAGATACCTTGATAAGAGGGCAGATGAAATACAGTGGGACTAAGTTCCAGCATGAACAAATCCAATAATCTAAGATTGGTACCTTGGTATCAGCAGGTAATTTTATTCTATCTATAATAGTAGTTTGTCATTAATGTTCTGAGAATATGTAGCAAAGATGGAGCAGTTCAAGTTAAGAGGACAAAGACAAACCTGGATGAGCCAGAGGGATTTTGCTTACATGAATACTATTTGAAAAGTACTTTTTTCATTAGCTGAAGATATAAAAACAATAAAAGGGTAAAAACAAAAAATGCAAGTAAGTAATAGTAAGGTTATCATAATTTTTTCTTTAGAGTTTGCATATTTCTTAGCCTGGTGAGGAATACAAATATCATGAAACTCAATTATTCAGATGACCTGGCCAATCTAAACAAACATGCCTCCTATAGCAACATTTGGCATGAAGAAATAGATGGGTTGTGCTTTACTCAGCACTAAGAACACTGTATCTCAGTGCCCATTGTGGAAG